CGGCCGGTGACCGTCGCTCGGCCCGGCCCAGGTCGTGCCGCCGCTGCGTGGACGACAGAGCCGCCCCAGAGCCGCCCGGCCGACCGACCGCACACGGGCGCGGAGAGCGAGTGAGGAGAGAGCGGGCGGCAAGCGCCGTGGTCCAGCGGCAGAGACGTCACCATGGCATCGGTGGAACGACCCTCTGCCGCCGTCCTGATGCCGTTTCCACCGGTAGCACGGCTAGGACCCAGCAGTTATCCCGTGGATGGTTACGACGGGTTTTACTGGACTTTCGGCTGCGCATTGAACACGCAATTGAAAACGCGTCTCTTTGCGACCTGTGTCAGAAATGGAAGGACGCAACCTAGCCATGCTCCTTTTGCTCTTGGGATTTAAAGTGTGCGAGCGTGAATGGATCTGGCCTTTGACTTTTTAAAATGGAGGCAGCTGGTTGCTTTTATACAACCAGCTGGTATGTTCCGTATATCTTTTCAAACGGCTTTGATGAAAACGTGGGTATCACCTTTAAATATTTTCTACTTCGGTAGACACCTACTGCATGGACGCTCGTTTACCTACTCATTCATTTCCAGAAAATAATATGATGCATATTCCAATTCAATGTACGTACCGGATTGCATATAAGGGAGCACATGTTTTAGGTTGCTTAGCAGCGGCATCTAGTTCTCAAGTATCACGGCGGACATTTCCCAAGTTCTTTATGTCATGAGCCTGATGAGAATATCCCATGACGTCAGAGCTGATATATAATTTTATACTGGACGATGACGCTGGACTCGGCTTAATAAAGTGGCAGTTCCAGCTGAGCTAAACCCCGCAGATTATTTATCCGACGGTATCAGGCCGGGCGAACTGATTTATTGCACGGTGGCAGCCGGTGCGCCTGCCAAACTATTTCTCTGCGACGCCCGGAATGCGGGGGATGCGAACGGCCGGGTATTTCTGGAGTGGCCACAATGGACTCGGCGGCACCCAGTCCCGGTCGGTGCTAAAACAGACCCCCGGGGCTGACTCACGGTCACAAATAGTTGATGGCGCAGGACGGCCGGCGCGGCGCGGCCCGGGCGAGCGCGCCGCATTGGCCGCGCCGCCCCCGCCTCTTGGCCCGGCCGGCCGGCGTTTGATGCCACTCGGCGACGGCAGGGTCAAAGGCGGCCCCGGTCGCGCCGCTGAAGATGTATTGATGGGGATGTGGCATTCCAGTACCAGCAACTGAGTCAACGAGCGCTCATGCCCGGATGTAAGGAAGAAACGTAATGGCCGCAAACAAAAATCATGCGGGCCAAATCTTCGGATATACAGTTACCTCGAATTTAAGTCCTATTGATGTCCATTATAGGTATAAATATATAAGTCACAAACAATTGTCATCCAGCTGTATAAATGATTTTTCCTCTCCAATAATTATCCGCATTTTAATATTGTTTATAGCTGTCCATCCGAAATCCGCTCGTACCGGAATTAATTGTGACATGACGATATGCAGAATATCCCGATTTATTTCTGCATCCCGCGTGTGTTCAAGTATAAGGGTGACATCTATAGAAGCAGCTGTCACCTGTCACACGGTACCTTACCTCGTGCCTGGCTGGCATTGCAATCTACTGTCCTTCCTTACTTGGCGCCAGTGCTGCATCAAAGTAGGTATAAACAATATCGACGATTGTGTGACTTCGTGTGCTACCTCGTTGTCTCTTCCAAACAAAATTCGTAGTTGCTATTTTGACGATCGTGGAATTCCAAAGGCTTAGTTCCGATTGGCTCTTAACTCCCTTGTGTCAACACAACATCTCCGTGGTGCATTTGTCGTGGATGCCACGGCGATTTAGAAAGGCGGTTTATTTTTCTATCCGCTGCTGACGACCCACCGACGGAAGCCTAGCGAGGTGAATAAACACAAACGACGTGCCGGCTGGACAGCGCTGGACTTGGAGCCTCTGAGTGACGTCATCACACGCCATCTGACGTCAGAGCTCCCACCTGACCGGATATGTGAATGGCCACCTGACGAAATGGAGCGCTTCTTCGCCCGGCGTCGGCGCTTTGGGGCGGCACCATTGAACTTTGGGGCAAACGTGGACGGCGCAACGCCCATATACGATTAAGGATAGTGTGCTGGTTGATGCAACCCTGTCCATTCGCGAAGCACGCTCGTGCTTATGCTGATCAGCGATAGGCTTTCCAAGTGAAATGCGTTCGCGCCGCCGTAAGTCACACCGTCATCATTCTCAGGGTCATTAGAAAAGTGTTATCCTGTGGAGAGTAAGTGCCTACCTATAGTCTGGTAAGATATTATGCTGACCGATCCTGGCCGTTTGGCGCAAAAAGGGCAAAAAAAATATGGAAAGAATGGAAAATCAGGAAAATAAATTACCAAGGCAAGCACTGTTGTTTTATATCGGGACAACGTGTCTGAATGAGGAAGGCGTTGATGAAAAACATTATTGTTCAAATATAAAAATAGTTTAGACCATGTTGGATCAATGTATGCAGATATTAATTCACCACTTTGTAGGTATTGTACCGCTTATGCTCGCTTTTTGTCGGTGGTTAGGTACGTGAGCACCGGGCAAATCATCAACTTGAATATACTCGTTAAATATTTATGAGAAGTGCATACATTGAGATAATTTATCTTAAGGAACTTTTTAATTTTATTGAAGTTCACGGTTAGCCGTGCCTGCAATAGGCACCATTTAAACGCATCAGCTTAGCAACTGATTGACTGCAACTTTTATGCCCACTTCGTAAAATGAAGAGCGGGAGACAACTGGTTAGGAATCATTTGTGGTGTCATTTCAGGTTATTACGTGTTTTGGAAAAAATAAAACTTCCTTATCTCATACATATTAATTCCGAATAAATGCCCGAAGGGAATTATTGAATTAATGCCGCATTCAACCTATAAAAAACATAGGACGCAAAAAGCGAACAGCTTCCCTATTTACATTTCTTTTTTTTGCAAGGGGCTGCGAAATATCAAATTCTGACGTTATTGGTTCTTTGTTTCGCCGCTAGAGGGGGTGGGGCGTCTTTCCCACCCTGGGCATCTTACCCCACTCTCCCCTACCACTTCAGGTTATTCCGTGCTTAAAAGCTTTGTTATCTCATACATATTAATTCCGAATAAATGTCCGAATGGAATCATTGAACCAATGCCTCATTCACACTACCAACAACATGGGACGCAAAAAGCGAACAACTTCCCTATTTACGTTTTTGCAAGGGGCTACGAGATCTCAAATTCTGGCGTTATGTTATTGGTAAAGGTACGTGCAAGCTAAGAGTACCTGTACGTAAATGTGTGTAGAAAAATGTTCAAACAATAATAAAAAACTTTCGCAGTACAAACGAACTGATACTCTGTGCTACATCGAGCTTCAAGTCTAAGTGGTCGCTAATCGGAACATTCACCCTACCTGTGCGTTACCTTGCTTAGTTTGATATCTGAGCACTTGCATAGCAATGTATGCATTTGTGTCTCTCTGTTTGTTCACATAGTTTGTATTCTAGCCTTGTCGCTTAGGGTCGGCGTCGGGTCATAAGTGGTCATAAATGGAGGTCTATGGCCACACATGTGCGCGGCAGCAGGGACACGCCGGCCCGTATATCGGGCGGCCCGGCTGGACATTGGGAGACGGGCGGGCAGTGGAGAGCAGGGCGGGAGAGAGAGAGGACGGGTCGGTGTGCGCGTTGAGATGTCTGAAGGGTGAAGAAATACAGTCTACGATAGACGCAAAGTTTGAATGCCACAAGCTATTTCGGCGGCGGCGGCGGCGGCGGCGGGGGCGGCGGCGGCGGCGGCGAGTGGGCCATCACGTGACATTTCAAGGTCAAGTCGCCGGCCGGCTCCGATCAGATGCTGGATATGTGGTCGCCCAGGTCATATCGCCCGGATGTGCCCAAACGGCTGCGGCGGGGGAGCTGCATCAGCGCCAGCACCTCCTCCGCCGTCCACCGAGCCGGCAGCAGAGCGCCGGTAATCCAGATGCTGCTCGACGGGCGACCGTGTCACGCGCTGGTGGACACGGGCTGCGAGGAGACCGTGGTGTTCGCGGGTTGTGTCGATAAATGGGATCGATGTGAGACAAACTTGACCGCGGTGAATGGGAGTGTCGTGCGATGCAGCGGGAGTGCAGAGGTGCTGCTGGAGGCACAAGGCCGGCGGGCGGTGGTCCGTGCTGTGGTAGTGGCGGAAAGGTTGTTGGGTGTTGACGTGCTGTTGGGCATGACCGGGTTAGAGGCGCTGGGTGGTGTGTTTGTGAGTGGTGGAGAGGTGCGTTTTGGTGGTAAAGTGGTGAGGGGGGAGCGTTCGGGGTGCGCCGGTGTAAAGGCAGAATCGAGCGGTATGTCGGCAGCGGTGTCTCAGGGGCGTGGTCCAGTGGACAGACAGATCGAGACGGCTGATTTTGTGGCTAAGTTCAGCGACGGAAAGTGGACAGTTTGGTGGAAGTGGGCCGACGGAAAGGAGCCAAAACAACTCAAGAATACTGTGCCGCAATATCGCGTGCCGGCAGAGTCGCAGGAGCGGTTCGACGCAGAGTTACGGCTGTGGATCGAGGAAGGGTGGCTGCAACCGTACAATGAGCAGGAACACGGGCCGGTGCGTGGCCTAATTCCGCTCATGGCGGTCACCCAGGAAGCCAAGGACAAGGTCAGGCCGGTGCTCGACTACCGTGAACTGAATGAGCACCTGGTGGCTCATACGGCTGAAGCTGATGTGTGCCGCGACCAGCTCCGCAAGTGGCGGCAACACGGCGACGATGTGGCCGTCATCGACCTGAAGAAGGCGTTTCTGCAGCTGCACGTGGCCCAGGAGCTGTGGCCGTTTCAGACGGTGTAGTGTAGTACCCCTCCCCGGGCCCCCCGCCGGCTGGCAGCGGCGGCCGGAGCCGATCCGACCTTTAGCCGGCCGGGTCAGGTAACCGGGACGGCCGCGCCGCGGCGCCGCGCCCGGGCCGGCCGGGAGACGGAGTCGGGTGCCCGCCGGCGAGCCGTCGGCAAGGGCGCGGGGCACATTAGTTCTTGTATGTTCAGTCTTGAGTGCGAGTGATGAATGTGTGAGTGCAATACACTACAAGTCAGTCGGTGACACACCAGGGAAATAAGCTAAAATAAGAGCGCTCTATTTATTGCTCCTGTCCCATGTTGAAGAGATACCCCTAAAAACGTGATCTTTTATCGGCCCTTACGCAGCAAGGCAGTAATTCTCAGACCGGTGGATGGTATCAATAGAAAGAGAATGCGTCAAAGATTAACATGAATTAATTAAAATAACATTAAAATGTTAATTAAGCGTGGAAATTAGTCCCAAACATAAGCTACTTATTGCTCCTACCTCGGCGACGGCGCTCCCCGCAGTCGGCGGAGAAGCTAAAATAAAAGCCACCATCCTCCTCCGTAAGTCAATTTTAGAGCGGCCGAGTGGGCCGATGCGGGGCCACCAAACTGAGGTGAGACGTGGCTAGTAATTGCAAACCGCCATAGAAATCAATATCTTAAGACGTACAATATGGAATGATTACTCTGAAACTGGAGTGAAAGCATGAGTAGATTGCAAGAAACGAAATGCATAGATTGGTTGAATTATGTACAACTACAATAGGCCCAGCTCAGATGAAGCCATTTCTATGATGTTGACATATGACATAACCCTTCCTCTCCTCACCTATGACTAAGTGCATTGGCAGTTACCGGCATAGTTTTTGAGCACGAGTGTAATTCGCAATCGGACCGCAATACATGTTGCTAGGCTGCTGCAATTACAACGAACATACGAATACTGCCTTCATTTGTAGACGTTTGTTTTTTAGGCGGTCTTTGACGTGCAAGGGGGCATACCTGTCGACAACTTGAGTTTCTCCGAATTTCAAAAACTCCCAGAATTTCAATTCCTTATGCACTGTTGTAGGTACAGCTATGTTCACAAGTTTTCGTTTCCTCCTGTTCTAAAAAGGATGATATTTGTCGATTTCGTGCGTCGCTGATAGGAGGGTGCGTTTAATAATTAGGCCCAACGCTTTCTGCATCCGCGAGTACCTTCAAAAGGGAACAACAGTTTCCATTTATTACACTATGGGACATGTGACAAAATGACCACTGGAACACGCATGAAACGGAGCTCATATTCCTAAAAATGTCTACAATCACTTCTTTTCTGACACTATTAGCAAATACCATCTCAAGTTAGGTGGTTGACAGACAGTCAATGGAGATCTGGGGAGACTGAGTGATGCCAATTCACCACTTAACTGATAATGAGGGCCGAGGGAAGAGAAACATGCAACATGCACAACTGACAACTTGACAAGTGACAAAACACTACCACTATTGCACAGTGCACAACAAATTACAGCAGCCAGCCAAAAAAATGCTTTTGGTGGCTAATTGCAAAACAAGTCACTAATAAATGTCTTAGTTGCAGCTGAACACTGCACAATAATCACACTGTTCACACATTGAGTGAGATGCCACAGGTGGTTTGAATCACACTTTGGTTCAACTGCAAATCTGAAGTGTTGTCATGAGGTTCATGCCTCCATGATCACAGCACTTTGGTTGTGGTTGGCATAACACTTGTAGTCTGCAGAGTTCCACATGAACTGCAGACACCTCATCTGGTGGTCTTCATGTTGCTCAACTTCTTCAGGAGGCAAATGTCGACCACCCAGTGGAAGCATGGTCCTGCAGAAAAGAAAGGTAATGCATAAGGTACAAACATTATCTGCTGAAACAGCTCCTTCTGTTGGCTGTTATTAAACTTTTAACATAGGTAACATAACAACATGTATTCCATGTATATTACATTTGTTGAAGTAAAATACTGCTGGCTATTTCAAAACCAGAAAATGAAATTATATTGTGGCATAATTCACCTGCTCAGCTATTGGTATCAAATAATAATTAATTTAATATTTGGCATATTCTACATAACACATTCATAGAATATTCTACTTCACGTCACAAGGACTCAATCTTTCTGTTGGGTGTTTGATTGACGCATTAACTAAGTTAGTCTTAGGTTTTATTATTGCAAAAAATTCATATTGCATTATTGTATCAAAATACTGCCAGCAATAACAAAACAAGAACATGAAATGCCAATGAGCAGGCCGCCTTTCCTTAAAATGGATTACTTTGAAAGGAATTTTAGTTTCTTTTAAGGAAAAGGAGAAATGATTATCAGGTAATTATCAGAAAATCACTCAACCAGCAAGTGGCTGGGTGGTTTCACAGCAAACATCAAGCCAAAACATATACTTACATCTATCTAACAATTGAGCCATTTGACTACTACAAGGATATGTGAGAAAAATAAGAATTCAATTATCCAATGTTGACTTCCTTGCAAAGTTTATGCCTTATTTTTATGAAAATGTGTCACTAGAATATGATACTTATCATCGAATATTATTTAAATTACGATTTATTTCGATCGGAATGCACATGGAGTCCCGCGCCATTTTCGTCGACGATGAATATGATCGTGCTTCATGAAGAGATAAGGGGTTTCAATGGTCTTTCAAAGCAATAATTTGATGCAAAAATTTGTAGGAAATAATATGAAGCTGGTTCAAATGGCCATCAACCATTTAAAACACCGAAAATACTCACAACTCCGTCCCGACGACCACGCAGCACCGCGCACGCGACACCACTGGCACCAACTGGCACAATGCCAAAACTGCTGTCACAGCGGAAATGTTTTTTTTTCTCGATTGCAATTGTGGAATTATTTATTAAACAGAAGATGATCTTTCCGAAAAACCGACTGATTTCACACACAGATGCATGGAAAATAAAAAAATCCCGGTAAGTTTATGTGTATTGTTTTGTCGATTTTGACATGCTCCTAGTTTGCAGCCATATTTCGATATGTTCTACAGGGAGTTCAGAATTATTTCAGGACCAATCTTTTCCTCATTCATTTTCCCGTCGATCATGAAATTTTTAGAGCGGAACAATTGGTTTCCAGGCGGTCCGAGCGGTTTTCGTGAGAAGGGTGCAAAAATCGGCGTCATTTTTAGAGCCTCGACACCAGCTCAACACAGGACCCTATGGGAGACGGTGAAGTAGCGGGAGCAATAAATAGAGCGCTCTAATTTTAGCTTATTTCCCTGGTGTGTCACCGACTGAAGTGGCGACAAGAGGCTGAGATAAGCGGACTGCATTCAAGACGACATGTTCCAGTCACCGGCGCCACCGGAGTTCCTGTCGCGGCCGGGACAGCGTCCTGGGAGCTGGCGACAATGGTACGAGGACTTCCTGGTCTTCGCTGAGGCCAGCGGGTGGTTGGACTGGACGGACGGTCGTCGGACAGCGTTCCTGTTGACAGCAGTCGGAGCGGAGGCACGTCGACTCTACCGAGCTGCTGCTTCAGCTACCAAGCAGGAGAACATCGAACCTGGAGTAAGTGACACTGACGCCGGCGGCGCTGGTGCTGCAATTGTGTCTCAGTTCGATGCTGCTGTAGCTGTTTTCAAGAAACTGTTTGAGAGCGATTCTGATGTTCGCTCTGCTCGCTTGAAATTCCGGAAATGCACCCAAGGCCCTGATGAGTCATGCGTGATTTTCCTGGCCAACCTCCGCGAGGCAGTGGCCTGTTGCAGTTATGGTGCCCTGACTGACGACATACTACGTGATCAGTTTATCGAGGGTTGTCGCTCTGACCAGCTTCGTGACAAGCTGATAATGATTGATGACCTATCTCATTCCAAGCTAGAGGCTGTGGCCGAGGCCCACGATCGGGGCTTGCAGCGAAAAGCTCTACTGCACGACTCATCTGCCGGTGCGACTTCACCTTCAGCTCCTGCGGTGGAGGTGGCGTATACTGGGCAGCGGCGCAGCACGAGCCGCAGTGACTCAGCGCGTAAGCAGACGCAGCGTCAGCCTCCTGTGAAGAAGTCAGGTACGTGTCGTGCCTGTGGTCGACCGGGTCACTGGGCAAATGACAAGGAGTGCAGAGCGAGGAACCTGAAATGTTTCAAGTGTAACACTGTCGGACACTTAAGCAAGTGTTGTCCTCGTTCTAACAAGACCGGTGCTGTTGACAATGTGCAGATTTTGTCCGTGTCTGCTAAGGATGACGTATGTCCGGTCGTTCAGACAGTGTCGTGCCCGTACTATGATGCCTTCATTGAGATGAAGCGTGTCAGGATGCTGGTTGACACCGGCTCGGCGGTCAGCATCGTCCCAGCGAGGACGTACTGGCAGCTCTTCAGTCACGTCCCTCTCCGTCCTGCGGGTAAGCTCGCCCAGTGGAACGGCAGCGGCATTAAGGTGCTGGGTAAGATGTCAGCTGACGTCACAGGACCGGACCAGCTCTCCGTTCCAGCGGAACTGTACGTGGCGGTGGGTGATGTACCGATCATGGGCCGTGATCTCCAGCATCAGCTCGGAGTCACGGTGAGCCGTGGCAGTGTCGTCTGCCAGGTGAAGCAGGATCAGGTGCTGCCAGCCATCAAGGGATTCGTCCACAAGGTGCGTCTGATTCCCGGAGCTGTGCCCAGCACGCCACACCTGAGGACTCTACCGTACGCTGTGAGGCAGGAGGTCAGTGACCATCTGGAGTCCCTGGAAGCCCAAGGAGTCATCGAGAAGGTACCCTGTGGCTCTTCGCCCTGGTTGTCTCCGATTGTCGTGGTCCGGAAGCGAGGAGGTGAGGGCCTGAGGATCTGTCTCGATCTGACGGCGGTGAACAAAGCCATTGTCGCAAACGGCTACCCCATCCCTCCGATGCAGGAGATGCTGGACAAGCTCCGAGGTGCCAAGGTGATGTCCAAGCTCGACATGAAGTCAGCCTATCATCAACTGGAGCTGCACGAGGAGTCCAGGAACCTCACTGCTTTCGTGCATGAGGGTCAGACCTGGAGGTACAAGCGGTGCTGCTTTGGGCTCAAAAGTCTTCCGCAGTGTTTCCAGAAGCTCATGGAGACTGTTCTGCAAGGCATCCCTGGTGTTCAAGTCTACCTGGATGACGTACTGGTCACAGCACCCACCCGTGCAGAGCACGACGCGAGGCTCAGCACCGTCATGAAGCGGCTGAAGGACTACGACATCACGCTGAACAGGGACAAGTGTCTGCTAGGTGTTGTGTCGCTGGAGTTCCTGGGGTTCGTCGTGTCGGAGCGTGGGATCGAAATCTCACCAGATCGGGTCCAAGGTCTTCGAGACATGGGACAACCCCAGAACACCAAGGAGCTCCAGGCTGCACTGGGGTCCCTCGCGTTCTACAGCAAGTTCGTGCCCAACTTCAGCTCTCGGGTAGAACCTCTGCGGCAGCCGCTGAGGAAAGACGCCCCAGCCTTCCGATGGACGGAGGAGATGACAGCTGCGCTGGAGGATGTGAAGTCGGCGATCTTGAACTCGTCTGCGCTGGCACCGTTCGACCCCAGTCTGCAGACGTTCGTCACGACCGACGCCAGCGACGTTGGTCTCGGGGCCGTTCTCTCACAGATCCACCCAGATGGAGAGAGAGTGGTGGCATTCGCCTCCAGCACGCTCAGCGCAGCACAGCGCAAGTACAGCGTAACTGACAGAGAGGGCCTGGCATGCGTCTGGGCGTGTCAGAAGTGGCACAAGTACCTGTGGGGCAAGGAGTTCGTTTTGCGGACGGACCACGCTGCCCTTCGCTCTCTGCTGTCTGCTAAGGGCATCGGTCGGGCCAGTATGCGAATGTCTCGCTGGGCCGTCAAGCTGATGAACTATGCGTTTCAGGTTCAGCACATCGAGGGGAAGTTGAACCAGGCTGATGGCATCTCACGCCTTCCCGGCAGTCATGGGGTTGCAGAAGACGAGGACCAGCTGGTCGCAGCCCTGGAGGAGATGATGCCGGCGGTGAGCAGCGCTGATATCGCCGCAGCAGGCCTTGAAGATGACGAGGTCAAGGCGCTGATCTCGCAGATCCCACAGCGCTGGCCGTCGAAACTGAGGGAGGTGCCGCCTGTGCTGAAGCCCTACTTCAGGTACAGGAACGAGCTGAGCATCGAGAAGGGTGTGGTGTTCAGAGGTGAGAGGATACTTGTTCCTTCTGCCCTCAGAACCCGCGTGGTGACAGTTGCCCACGAAAGCCATCCCGGGATAGTGCGCACGAAGCAGCGTCTGCGCGCAGTCTTCTGGTGGCCAGGGATGGACGGCGAGGTGGAGACAGCCGTCAAGAACTGTCCCACCTGCTCTGTTGCGGACAAGTCGACCAAGACGTCCAGGACGCCTCTCATCCCGGTCTCGCTGCCTACTGCGCCGTGGGACAAGGTGGGAGTGGACTTCATTGGTCCGATGCAGGGTCCGGCAAATCAGAGGTACGGCATAGTGCTCACAGACTACTACTCCAAGTGGCCGGAGGTGGCGTTTGTATCAGAGCCAAGTACAGACGCCGTGATTGACTTCCTGACGTCAGTGGCGACCAGAGAAGGCTGGCCGAAAGAGCTGGTGAGTGATAATGGAACCCATTTCACGTCAGCACGGTTTGCATCGTTCTTGCAGGCTAACGGGATCAAACACATCAAGGTGTCCCCGTATCATCCAGCAGGTTCCGGAGCTGTGGAACGCTTCAACCGCAGTCTGAAGTCTGCCATCCAGATAGGTGAGCAGCAGAAGGCAGACAGGCGGCGGCACGTTCAGCAGTTCCTGATGGTGTACCGGGCGACGCCGCACGCCACGACGGGACGCAGCCCGTCAGAGCTGCTGCACGGACGCCAGCTGCGGACGTCACTGGAGAACGCCGTGGTGCAGAGCAGTGACTGCAGAGGTGACGGCGCCATCCAACAGCACGTCCGGAAGAAGCAGCGAAAGATGAAGCGGTATCATGACCGAACGGCAAGGAAGCCCGACATAAAGGTAGGCGATCTCGTTCGCTATCGCCTGATGCCAAGGCCGCGCAAGGGAAAACCTCGGTTTTCCAAGCCATGTGTCGTCACCGCACAGCGTGGTCCCGTGTCGTTCGAGCTGGAGGGTGGCATCAGAGTCCATGCCGAGCGACTCTCCCCGTGTCATACATCTGTCCGCCGGCCTGACGTTCCCGGAGGAGGCGGGCGAGAACAGGCTGACGAGCCTGATCTGCTTCCTGACGACGCCGGCGGCGGCGCCGAGACTGTCGGCGTGGAGACAGCCGAGAGAAGAGAGGCTGTCGGGCCTGAACAGCTTCCTGACGGCGCCGGAGGCGGCGCTGGGACCGTCGCAGTGGAGACAGGCGACGGCGGAGCGGCCGAAGTCGACGTAGGTGGAGACGTCTGGAACGACTCTGCCGGGAATGCCTCTAACGTCGACGTCGAGGACGCCGGAAACATGGAGGGCCCGTACCGCACGCGAGCGGGACGGGCAACGAGGCGCTGGTGGAGATGAGCGCTTCGGGGGGAAGGGAATGTAGTGTAGTACCCCTCCCCGGGCCCCCCGCCGGCTGGCAGCGGCGGCCGGAGCCGATCCGACCTTTAGCCGGCCGGGTCAGGTAACCGGGACGGCCGCGCCGCGGCGCCGCGCCCGGGCCGGCCGGGAGACGGAGTCGGGTGCCCGCCGGCGAGCCGTCGGCAAGGGCGCGGGGCACATTAGTTCTTGTATGTTCAGTCTTGAGTGCGAGTGATGAATGTGTGAGTGCAATACACTACAGACGGTAATCGTGGACGGCCAGCGACATTGTCTGACAAGGGTCGGATTTGGTCTCAGCGTTGCAAGCGGCATCATGCGAGCGGTAGTGCGGGAAGTTTTGGATCAAAGTCCAGAGATCGCAAAAGCAGTGCTCCCGTACGCTGACGACCTGCTCGTCAACGAGACGCTCATCTCGGCTGAGCGGGTGGCCGAACATTTTTCCGCATACGGGCTCTCGTGTAAGCCACCGGAACGGGTAGCGGATGAGGCCGGAGCCCGGATGCTGGGGCTCCGAGTGAGACGGCAGTCTGGCGGTGACGGCACACTGAGATGGTCTCGGGACGGCGTGACACCAGCTGAGCCACCCGGGGTGCTGACCAGGCGGTCAATCTTCGCCTGGGCGGGTCAGCTAACCTCACACGTGCCCGTCGCCGGGTGGCTGCGGCCGGCCGCTGCCTGGCTGAAAAGGGCGGCGAACAAGGTCACCAAAGATTGGGACTCACCGATCACCGACGATGACCTGCGCAAACAAGTCAGTGATGTGACCCGGCGGCTGGCAGAGTGTGACCCGGCACGAGGACAGTGGTGCGTCTCAGGAGACTCGGTGACGGTGTGGACTGATGCCAGCTCCATCGCCCGCGGCGTAGTGCTAAGTGACCCCACCACGGGTGAGGTTATCGAAGACGCCGCGTGGCTCCGATCTGACAGTGACTCAGACATGCACATAAACCTATCGGAGCTGGATGCCGCGCTGAACGGTATGAATATGGCGGTGGCGTGGGGATTCAAGCGTGTGATCCTCCGCACAGACTCTGTCACTGTTCAGCGCTGGCTGACCGACGCTCTGACAGGCCGTGCCCGACTGAGAACGAAGGCACAGTCGGAAATGCTGGTTCGGCGGCGGGTGGCCGTTTTCAAGCAGCTCTCCAGCGAGTACGACCTCGTCGTGACAGTGGAGCTCGTGCCGTCGGCTGCCAACCGTGCAGACGAGCTCACGAGAGTACCAAAAGAGTGGATCAGAACCGGAAGCGAGCAGGCGACAGGTGTGGTGGCGGCCGTTAGGACAGCTCGACCGGAGGACATAATGGCGGTGCATGAAAGTGTGGGACACCAGGGAGTGCGGCGGACGTGGTGGTATGCGCGCCGAGAGCTGGGAAAGAGCGTGACGAAGTCGGCCGTTCGTCAGATCGTTAGATCGTGTCAGGTGTGTGCGTCGATCGACCCAGCCCCGTCGCGCTGGAAGCATGGTGCCTTGGCGGTCGAGCGCAACTGGGAGCGGCTGGCAATGGACGTAACCCATTTCCGCGGAAAACACTATCTCACCGTGATTGACTGTGGGCCGTCGCGATACGCCATGTGGCGTGAGATCCGCCGCTCTGACGGGAGCGAGATCGTCAGACAACTCGAGGCTCTGTTTTTGGAGCGAGGAGCACCGGCCGAGCTTCTAATGGATAATGCGACCGAATTCAAGGGTCGAGAGCTGAAGGCGTTCGCGGTGCGGTGGGACGTCGAGCTGAGGTATCGCGCGGCCTATGAACCTGGTGGGAATGGCATCATCGAGCGCCACCACCGCACCATCAAAGTGATGGCCGCCCGTCAGGGATGCACCGTACCAGAAGCCGTGCACCGATATAATGTCACGCCCAAGGACGGGCGTGATATTACCACGGCCCCGATACATGGTGCCTACCGTCAGGCTGGCAGAGACTTGTGCGTGCAGTCACAGGGAAACACAGCTGCTCCTCCTCAGACGGCCGGCCAGCCTGGTGTGTATCAGCCCGGTGATGCGGTGTGGGTCCGAAAACGGGGCGATCGGTGCACCGCCGTGTCAAAGGAGGGCACTGTCACCAAAGTCGTATCCGCTCAGACGATTGAAGTGGATGGAGTCCCATGGCACGTGCGGAACATTCGTCATCGTCTTGCCAACAACGGTGACGACGCAATGGCTGCTTCGACGGATGATGAGCAGGAAGAGGAGATCGCCTGCCCGGTTCCGACCGCCCATGTGCCTGGACAGCTGGCCATTGAGGCGCCGGCGGCGGTGGAGCCGTCAGAGCTGACCCCAGCTGTCGCGCCGACCGAGCAGACCGAGCCGGTCCCTCGAGCAGCAGCTGAGGCGGATGGCGGTGCCGGAACAGAGGAGCGGATCCATACAGTGAAAGTTGTAAAAACAGAAACTGAGGGATTGTCAAACGACCGTGTGAACGAAGGTAGAGCGCCAGCGGAAAGTGTAGATAATATCGATAGTTATAGTGACGTGCTAAGAAGGGGTTTGCGCTGCAGGCGTGCGCCGCAACTCTTCGGCGCTCCCATCCCCCATTAGTTAAACTGTAGTTAGATGTGTTCTTTAGGAACAGGGGGGAATGTGTCTCTCTGTTTGTTCACATAGTTTGTATTCTAGCCTTGTCGCTTAGGGTCGGCGTCGGGTCATAAGTGGTCATAAATGGAGGTCTATGGCCACACATGTGCGCGGCAGCAGGGACACGCCGGCCCGTATATCGGGCGGCCCGGCTGGACATTGGGAGACGGGCGGGCAGTGGAGAGCAGGGCGGGAGAGAGAGAGGACGGGTCGGTGTGCGCGTTGAGATGTCTGAAGGGTGAAGAAATACAGTCTACGATAGACGCAAAGTTTGAATGCCACAGCATTATTGCCATTAGCAACTTAAATATATTTAAGTACTTACCTAAATGCGCCAGCGCGTCGGGCTGCTGCTTTCGCAGCTTTCTCTAAAATCGATGGACTCAAGATCGATCGTCTGGCTGCGCTAGACTCGTTCAGAGTCTCCTGTTTTCTCAAAGTCTCTCGCTCTCTGGCACCTCACCGTTATGTTACCCGTTCACCGTGTGAGATCACGTGACGCATTTGCTATTAGCCACGTTATGCTGTGTTTCAGCTGCTGAAGGCTGTCATGCCTGTCACGTGGTACATAGAAACGGAACGGTTCTCAGGAGATCTGCTGGTCGTGGTGAGTACACATTACCTTCCCGCATCCTACCTATACGATACATTTTCTTATGACCTTCGCGATTTTCAGGCGTGGGAAAACGATCCAATGTCCACCATTTTCATCAATAGAAGCGTGATAAAACTTCTTGGTCATTCGTCTGCTTTAGGTATTTATCCATTCTATCCCTGAGTGATGCTTGAAATCCTCATAAGAATCTCCATCTCTCACTCTGTATCCTGCATTACAAGTACCTATAGGGCTGTTTACTGTTTTTATTTGCATGCTCCATGACTTTTGACATGTAAGGTGTTTGTCTCCAACAATCATGTTTAGGCTTTTCTTGGATGGGCTAGTTGTTTCCCAAAAGTGAACTCGTGAAATTGATCGCATGGTTTCACGGCTTAGGTGTTTATTTTTAAACAGGGCTTCAACAACATTTCAAACATCGTTTACCCTACGGACTTGTGCGTTTCGTATTTCACTGGTCTTGTATCATGTCTTTCAACGGCATATTTCAAGGCTGTTTGATATCTACAGGCTACATAATTCGATCTACCCTAGCCTGACCGATCGTTTAGAGCTCTCAATGGCCTGCTCAGAGCTGCGACGGGGAGGCTCTGCTGCGATTGGGGGGCGGGGCCTCGGGAGGGGCGGAGCCTGGCGAGGTGACCGCGGCAGGGTGGGGGCGGGGTCACTAGGGGGTGCAGTGGGGCGGGGTCGGCTGTCAGCGCCGGTGCCGACGCGGCGGCGACACTCGGACACGCGGCTAAAAATACCTGAAACATGAGGCCCGATTTAACCGTGCTGGCGAGCGGCGCGTGTCCCACGTCACGTGGCGCATGGTGTGCGCACGTGTCGTCGGCGGCCGCCCACGGGTGGCGCGGGAGGCCGCTCCCAGGGCGCCCAGCGACATGGGATCAAGGTCGCACTAATACAAACCCAGCGACTCCCGGTGGGTGGCGTCTCTGAGTCACCTGATGCACCCGCCGCGGGCAGTAGGGCATTGTGTGTTGCAAATTGCAATCCGATCTTGCAATCTTAGAATAAGCGTACGAAAGTCAAACGCGAGTTAACCAGCTGGGGAAGGGGGCGAAACAGCCCCCCTCTTTTTCTGTCGATATCACCTAAAGCGTTGCAGATATCGCCACGAAACTTTCAGGACCCCTACGGGCATCAGTACTATGCGTTGTGGTCAGAACTTTTCCTAGAAGCTATGATAGGTTGGCCCCAAATGACATCAGAATGATGTCATGTTCTTCCATTTTCGACAAAAAAGAAAGCGTTGCGGAGAGAGCTGTCACGCTCACGCCTACAGTATTGAAAGTACATACAGCAAAATGTCTAGCACAAGAAGTAGGATTAGCGGGGCTACAATACTGATTATCTCAGATTTTTTCTAGATTCTGGATTTTGACCACCAGAAAGGTATTCAAGATATAATGCCCTCTAAATATATATATTAGCGAGCAAATAGGCATTTTGGATACCTTCGCAAAGACGGCCGGCGCTCGGAGCGCGGCGGTCGGTCCGCCGCGCCACGCCGCTCACATATGTGTCATCTGGCCCCTGTCCTGGTTCTCATACCCACGTGTTGTGCGTACACTCGGGGGCAGATTGATGTTCTACAACTCTTTATCCACCGGGTTCCTATGGCTCAGCATTGGCAGCAGCCGCCTGGTACCGGTAGACTGTGCCGCTTCACTTACTTGTCAAGCGGCACAGCCTACCCACCCGTATGACACCGGTCTGGGTCGGTGGCTGGAAGGTGATGTGGGCCGCCTGTGAAGTCAGCGCAGCGGTGAGGGCCGAGCCCGGAGGCATGGCTCGGGTCGGCGCGGCGCGGCGGCTGGCGAGGGCTGGGGAGTGAAGTGGGGTGGGAGCACGGACATCGCGTGGCTGAGCGAGTGTAGTTAACTTTCGCGTCTCAAGGCGCCAATTATTCTACCTAACAATTGTGCTAAAGCAGTTGTTAAAATGTCCTATCCCCAAGACAGCGCCTATCATCATACTTGCAATGCACATTACGACACACTTAAGCGTGGCAATGGGACAGCCGATAGAACTTACG